TTAAATGTGTAGTTTCTGTTTGTGCAACTATGTATTTTAGTATTTTAAATACATTGTTAAATTGTTGCCCTGAGGGCTTTTTACATTACCGGCAGAGTACAAATTAAAAATAACATTAACCAGTTCTAAACTTGTAATTACTGAACAATATTTCTATAGCTTTCCACAATTGTTCAAAGCACTTCACATGTATAATCTAACTATAGACCTTAGAAGAACGCTGTAAGTAGATATTATCCTAATAAAACAGAAGGAAGTGAGAACTAGGATGGAGATGATATGGCTTGCTTAATGTTACCCGGTTAGTTCATGGCTGGGGCAAGTTCTGAACCATTTTTTTCAATCTGGTACCCTTCAAATGTTTCAGACTACAACTCCCATCACCCACCACCACCATTGGCCTACCAGGTGGGGCTGAAAGGAATTGTAATCCAAATCCATTGGATTAGAAATAGCATTTCTGATTAATTTTGATCAGCCTTCCTGAACCTGCTGGAAGCTGTGTTGTAGTCCAGATAGGTTGCATTATACAGTCATTCTCATCTGCTTTAGCTAGAAGGGGGGCTGGGAACAACGAGACTTACAGTCCAGTACGTATATCCGTAGAGCACCATATTGGAGAAATAAGGTAAGGTTGAAGATTTGGGTGTAGGAATACAAGCTACGTAGTGTCCCCTAACAGTTAAGAAGTTGCAGTGTCTTCAAGTAATATCCCACAAAAACTGTCCTTCCTAAATATCTGTTGCAGTGCAAAGATGGGGAAAGTTTCTCAAATATCACTATTTTTCTTGACCTGATGCCTGCTGAAAAGTGTTGGGACTGTATTCCTAGAATTTGGTCATGCTGGCTGAGCAGTCAGGGAGTTGCACACCCAGGCTATCTACAGAGCACAAAGTTAGAGAAGCATGCCTTAGTGCACTGTCTCTCAACCTTGGCAACTTTAAGATGTGTGGACTTCAATTCCCAGAATGCCCTAACTGGGGAATTCTGGGAGTTGAAGTCCATACATCTTAAAATTGCCAAGGTTGAGAAACACTGCCTTATTGGTTTGCAAATGCCACTCCCTCTGCATTGGGCTTCTCGTGGGCCGGTGGGGATGGCAGGAAAGGCATTCATCCAAACGGCAGAAAAACTCTTGTTTGCCAGAATCAAACGCGTGGCTTCGCCCGGCACCGTCCTCTTCGCTGGGGTGCAGGAAGTAGCAGCGAGCGGAGAATGAAATGAAATCCACGGACGAAGGGCGCTGACCATGGGGATAAGGCCGGACTCGCGATGTGAGATGCAACGCGGGGTTCAAAGAAACGGGGGGAGACAAGTCATTTTAGGAGGAAAAAGAAATCCGTGCAGCGCGGTACACTTACGTACGTGGATACCGAGCTTGGCAGGAACAACTGTAAAGACGAAACGAAAGCGAAAGCCCAGCCTGGGTGAGAACCGCCTTCTTTGACCAAGGAGAGGCCGGAAAGAAGCGGTCGATTTAAGCAGATACGCCGCTTGCCGAACCATGAACTGCACGCGCGCAGTATTTGCATTTGCACGAAACGCGGCACACGTGCTTGGGAGCCACGGAACTGCAGCCTCGTCAATTATTTCCAGCTCGATGCGACGCTGGAGGGTATTGCTGCTGTGTCGCCGCCCGTTGAGAACGCCGAGCACCACTCCATCGCTGATTTTCAGCAATTAACTGTATTAACCCGTGCCGAAGTTGTTTATCCCAGCAGCAATTTCTGCAGAAGGGGCAGTATTCGCCTGCTGGTACCTTTCCCAGGTGTAATCGTCCAAACAACGCTAGGCGGGATAGCTTTTCCGTGTAATCCAGGAGCGGTATTTAATCTTAAAATGAACCAAAGATTCATACTGTTTTTGGTCCTTCTTTTATATGTATTCATGTTTAAAATGTATTTTGCCTGTGCTCACTTAAGTCTGTGTCCGAGATGTTACATCTTTTTCATCGTTTTACTAAGAGATCCTCAAATCAACTTGGGAAAGGAACAAAAAAAATAGGTAGACCTCTCCTCCTGCACTGGGTTTCCCCATGATACCCGTTTGCCCAATGCCTTCCCCATTTGTATTTGCTGAAGCCTTCTTATGTCAGGATTCAACAGATACAAAGACGGTTAACGGGGAAAGCTAACCGCATTTCCTACCATGCACTTTAGCCTCATCAAGCTTTTTAAAAAAATAATAGTTATGTAAATATCAGACATCTAGAATTTCTGTGCACCCAGATTCACGATATGGTCAAAAAAGTCAAGAAAAATCAAAGTCTTTTATGTATGTCAGATATGCAATATGTACAACACATATAAAAAGGGGTAGAGCTTTGATTGCACCATTGTGGCTGCCATCTTGACCACATCTGCAGACACTGTTGCCCAGATTCATCTTCATCCAGAGCAACTGCAATTTGCAGTGTTTATGGTGTTGAATTACAAAGAGCCAATGTTATATTCCTCCTTGGCCATGCAACTTAGCAGATACTTTTGGGTCAGGTACTGGTTTCGTACATATACGTGTGTGTGTGTACAGTTGTGTGAAAAAGAAAGTACACCCTCTGAG